TCATTGCTTTAAAGTTTTTGTAGTTTTGGTAGTTTGGAATTCTTTTTAAAATTTCTTTATCTCAGCTTAGTATCACTTTCTAAGAAGAGAATCAGAGTTGAAATCACAGACACTGAAAAAAAAATCTCACTACCTAAGGTTTATATAAAACTACATAACAAAGAAGGTCATAGACATAGGCTTTCAGTTAAGTCCTGAGCTAACCCAGCCACTGGATATCAGTATTAATTTCATGTACTGAAATTACTGGTATCTTAAAAAAATTCATAATTTGTTTCTTAATAAATGATGCTAAGTAGAATACATTTCAAATGTGAAAGTTTATAAATATAAAACCTCACGTATATATGTAAATTTGTAAGTATATATTACCCCCTACATTTTCTTCAAATATAAATTATTAGCAGATCAAAGTGTTCAAAAATACTGCATAAAAATAAAACTAAATGCACAAATGAGGTAGTATTTGATCTTTAAAAAAATGGCTTAAAAAAACAAAATGGTATTATTGATGAGTTGAATATTTGCTCTAGAACTGCTGAAAAAGCTCTCTGACTCTACACTGGTGGGGGATGTTATGGGAAAAATTTATAAACTATTTTGAGATTTTCTTCTTGACTATGTAATCTTTACATAATCCCGTCTTGTTGTGATAGCTTGTGGGGAGGATGTGGGGGTAAGCAAGGATTCAGTCATTTTACTAATGTGAAGCTGTAGTTCTTTTTTTCCAAAGAATTTTTTCTTCATAATATGTAGATGGAAATTTTAATGTAATTACTTTTATCATATCTGTATGAAGTGTTCATATGCCGTTTGTTTGAAAAGTCTCTGAACTAGAGGAAGATATTTATTCTTGTAATAGAAGCTTTTGCCTTGTCAATTAAAATTTTTTCTTCTTGTGGAGGTTAATGGAGGTACAGAAGAAGGCTTTCCAAATAAATGTACCTTTCTTTGATTTAAAGTCAATGATTATGGATATATCTAAAAATATAAGTGATTCAGATTTTACATTTTAAACTTACCAAATAGCAAAATTATACCAAAAAGATAGAGCAATAATTTGGTACTTAAAAATAGCCTACTATGCTAAAATGCTGGAATCCTTAAAAAGCAGTTCAACTGTCCTGGAGAGGGGAATTGTGGGTATGTGTGGGATCTCAAAGTGTGAATTTAACAATCTCAACTTCACTGGAAGTTGGATATTTATTATTTTTTTAGTGTTGTTTTTTTTTTCTTTCAGTTTGAGAGAATTAAGATTGTTTTATATGGGGGGCCGCCTGGGTACCTTAGTCGTTAAGCTTCTACCTTCGGCTCAGGTCATGGCCCCAGGGTCCTGGGATCGAGCCCCACATCGGGCTCTCTGCTCGGTGGGAAGCCTGCTTCTCTCTCTCCCACTCCCCTGCTTGTGTTCCCTCTCTCGCTGTGTCTCTCTCTGTCAAATAAATAAAATCTTTTTTTTTTAAAAAAGACTGCTTTATATGTCTGTTTTATATATAGTGGGCTATAAAGAATTTTAATTGTGATAAAACATATATGTAGTTTACTCTTAACACCTCTGCCCTTTCTGGTTTTTTTAAAAAGATTTTATTTGAGCGAGAGAATGAGAGAGAGAGCACAAGCAGGGGGAGCAGCAGAGGAAGAGGGAGAAGCAGGTTCCCTGCTGAGCAGAGAATTCCATGTGGGGCTCCATCCCAGGACCCTGCGATCATGACCCAAACTGAAGGCAAATGCTTAACCAATGAGCCACCCAGGCGCCCCTGCCCTTTCTATGAATAAAGAATATTTTCAGAAAATGTGGACAAAATTTTTAAAGAATGAAAAATAAAAATATGAAGTATAACTGAATGGTAAACAAAGTATGTATAATTTCTCTGTAATTCGTAAATTAAAAAACTCAAATTGCTTTGATTTTCCCCTTACTCAGATCCCTAAAAGGCGTCTTTATTGCTGTTTTATTTTTTGCAATCCTTCAGCTCTTTCAGCTTCTTATTTACTCTTCCAGGCTCTGGTCAGTGTTAGTCTGGTCGTTGAGACTAGGGTGGTGAGTTAAGTATATTGGACCTTTAAGTTTTAGGTAGTATTTACTATGTCATTTCCTAGTAGCATGACCTTGGACAAGTCAAAGTCACTTAATCTCTCTAAGCCTTAGTTTATTTTTAAAATGAAGAATATTTTTTCAGGCCCTCTTTAGAGTTACTTGGAGATGAAACCGTATATGCTGTAGTCTTTTAGAAATACTGTTACCTTCACAAGCATATCCATTGAGTAGACTTTGTTTCTTACTATTTTTTTCACCCCAACAAGTTATATGTAGGTACTTTTTCTTATTTTGATTATAAATTTAATGTGTGCTTGTTGTAGAAAGTATGAAAAATATAGAAAACTTAAAAAAAGAGAAATCTGAACAATGCCTCATCTTATTTTTATGTTTTTAGGGGAAATTTAGTTTTGAGGCTGAGTTCCCTGAGGGGAAGGATAGTTGGTGTCATATTTATTGTTGGATTTTTCTGTTCTTTGTATGCATTAGGCAAAAAAAATAATGCTTTTTGAGGGAATGGGAACTTTCTTAGTCTGGGTGTATTTCTTTTTTTTTTTTTTTTAAATGATGTAAATTTTAGATGTACAGCTTTATATTTTGACATCTGAATACACTCCAAAGTGATTACCACCACAAGTCTAGTTACCATCCATCACCATAGAGTTGACCCCTTTACCAATTGTGCTCACCTCCTGAACCCCTTCTCTTCTGGTAACCACTAGTCTGCTGTCTGTATCTGTGAGTTAGTTTTTGATTTGTTTTTAGATTCCATACATAAGTGGAATCATAGGTTATTTGTCTTTGACTTATTTCACTTATCATAATATCCTCAAAGTCCATCCATGTCATTGCAAATGGCAAAATTTCATTCATTTTTATGACTGAGTAGTATTCCATTTTGTATACACTATCTTCTTTATCCATGCATCTATTGATGGACACTTAGGTTGTTTCCATATTTTGGCTGTTGCAAATAATGATGCAGTTAGTTTAGGGGTGCATATATCTTTTCAAATAGGTGTTTTCATATTCTTCAGATCAATACCCAGAAGTGGAATATCTGTCTCACATTGTACTTCTATTCTTTATTTTTTGAGGAATCTCCATATTGTTTTCTGTTGTGGCTGCACCAATTTACAATTCCATCAATAGTGTGTGAGAGGGTTCCTTTTTCTCCACATCCTCTCTGACATGTTATTTCTTGTCTTTGATAATAGCTATTCTAATAAGTTTTAGGTGATGTCTCATTATGGCTTTGATTTGCATTTCCCTAGTTATTAGTGACATTCAGCATCTTTTCATTGTACCTGTTGGCCGTGTGTATGTCTTCTTTGGAGAAATGTTTCTTCAGATCCTCTGCCCATTTTTTAAATCAAGTTTTTGGTTTTTTTGTTGTTGAGATGTATGATTTCTTTATATATTTTGGATAACAACCCCTTATTAGATATGTGGTTTGCTGATCCCCCATTCAGTAGGTTTTCTTTGCTGTGTAGAAGCTTTTTGGTTTGAAATAATCCCATTTGTTTATTTTTGTTTTTCATTCCTTGCCTTTGGAGTCAGATACATGAAGATGTCACTAAGATCTGTGTGTAGAAGCTTACCACCTGTGTTTTCTTCTAGGAATTTTATGGTTTCAGGTCTTATATTCAAGTCTTTAATCTATTTTGAGGTAATTTTTGTGTATGGTGTAAGGTAGTGGTCTAGTTTCGTTACTTTGCAGGTAGCTACCTAGTTTTCCCAACACCACTTATTGAAGAGACTGTCCTTTCTCCATTATATGTTCTTCCTCCTTTGTCAGAGATTAATTGTCCATATATGTGTTAGTTTATTTCTGGGCTTTCAGTCTGTTCTGTTGCTCTGTGTGTCTGTTTTTGTAGCAATACCATACTATTTTGATTACTGTAGCTTTGTAGTATAGTTTGAAATCTGGGAGCATGATGTCTCCAGCTTTGTTCTTCTTTCTCAAGATTGCTTTGGCTCTTTGGTAACTTTTGTGGTTCCGTACGAATTTTACAATTATTTGTTACAGTATTATGAAGTATGTCATTGGAATTTTGATGGGTATTGCTTTGAATCTGCAGATTGCTTGGGTGGTATGGACATTTTAATAATATTAACTCTTCTAATCCATAAGTAGTGAATATCTTTCCATTTATTTGTTTCTTCAGTTTCTTTCAGGCGTGTCTTATAGTTTCCAGTGTGCAGGTTTTTCACCTTGGTTAAATTTATTCCTAGGTATTTCATTCTTTTTGATGCAATTGTAAATGGGATTATTTTCTTAATTTCTTTATAGTCTGTGTTTGTTAAAGTCAAAAGCTTGGTGAAATTTTACTGGACATTTGAAGAGAGAAAGGAAGACATCTGACTAGCAAAAATAATAGTGGGTGCATATTTTCTTTTTAAGATTTTCTTTTTAAGTAATTTCTACACCCAATGTGGGGCTCAAACCCATAATCCTGAGATTGAGTCACGTATTCTACCGGCTGAGCCAGCCAGGCACCCCAGGGGATGCATATTTTAAAATGACATTTTTCTAGGGGCATGTCAGTGGCTCGCTTGGTTAAGCATTCAACTCTTGATTTTGGCTCAGGTCATGATCTCAGGTTGTGAGATTGAGCCCATCCTAGGGCTCTGCGTTGGGTGTGAAGCCAGCTTAAGATTCTCTGTTGCTCTTCCTCTGCCCCTCCCACCTCTCCAAATAAATAAATAAAGACCTACATACATAAATGACATTTTTCTAATGGCTAAAATAACAAAGGAAAACATGATAGGATCCTTCATAATATTTTCTGGCAGAAGTTAGCAAACAAGTTAGGGCTGTTAGATATGGAGCCACTGGACAATATCATATCAAAGTGGATTGATATTTAGCAAGAACAACATATAATAAAATTTAAAGACTTTTTGAATACTTGGAAATTGTAACAACTTTCTTCTTCCTTTTTTATTTTTTGTTAAACAGGATGGCTTAAATTCCTTGGTCCTTGATTTGGATTTTCCTGCTTTGAGAAAAAACAAGAATATAGATAATTTTTTAAATAGATGTGAGTAAACTTTATATTTGATCCTATCACTATACTTTTGATGAGGTTTATATGACAGTCTATACATTATTAACCTTAAGTATTTTTTAGCTTGCTATTTGAATACTAGCATTCTTTATTTTCAAAGCAAAACCGCAGAACTAGTTGCAGTTTGTAAAGTAGGTAGAGTTCAAGATTTTGTATAAATTATTAAGACTAGTGATTTCAGGATAGGTTATGGCAGCTCAAAGAGTACTTTTAAATTCATATTAACAATATTAAGAGTGAGGTTTACATTACCCAGGAGACTTAATGAGCTTTATGTTTATATAAACATAGACATTTCAATCTAGCTAATGAAAGATAATGTGATAACAACTATTGTCATAGATGCAGTAACTTAATGTTTGCCAGTATTGATGTTGCAGTGAAGGTGTAAATGAGGTTGAAGTCTAAGGATAAATTCTCAAAATAATTCAATATATAGTTTATATCAACACAGTAAGCTTTTTAAGTTGGAATTGTCAGAGACTGGGCTATTTTCATAATTAAACAATCTTGTCTATAGTTATCATACCTATAATATGTGATTACTACTTTTCAAAGTAGGCTACTAAAATTTATTACTAAGATTAGCCTTGCAAGTAATGTCATAGCAGCTCTCTGTCATGATTCAGAATATACTCTAGGACTGCGTGGGTCATCACTGTTTTAGCTGTCATCTTGTCAAGCAACAGAGTCAGAAATGGAATAGCTTAACTGCTCCTTTTTGGTAGTCAGTATTGTTTGTCTTTTGTGTTAATAAACCATAGAGTTTTGGTTCTTTGATGTAAAGTTAGTATGTGTCTTGGATTTTTAAATAGTAACCTTTGAAAACTGACAGATTTAGCTAAAAACTAAACCCAGTTTCTTGAAATAAAAATCTGTTTACAAATATAGTGATTATTTAAAAGTATTGCTTATAAGTATGACCTTTTTATTGCAGATGAGAAAATTGTGAAAAAAATCAGAGGTCTACAGATGAAGGCAGAAGACTATGATGTTGTTAAAGTTATTGGAAGAGGTGCTTTTGGTGAAGTGCAGCTGGTAAGAAAGTGTTGTTTTATTCTGTTATTTTATTTTTGAAGACAGGGTTTTGTGAAATATTATCAGTAGCCTCTGAGTAGATCTTATTTTTATGCCCAGCCATGCCAGAGTTAGTTTTGTGAGCTTGGTCAAGTCATTCCATCTCAGAGAACCTGAGTGTCTTCATCTATAAAAGGAGGTACTTGTAAACGATAAACACCAGATCTCTTCCAGCTCTGAAACACTGAGATTTAGAATATATTAGGCCAACTTTATTTCACACATGACCTGTCTAGCAGCTAATATTCCAAGAACTATTGTTTTTATTTAATGTGTTAAGATTAATATTTTGTTTAATTAACTGAGATTTATTTAGATATATACCCAACAAAGACATTTTAATATGAAATTTATTTTTGCAGACAAGAGTGGTACCAACTGGAAATATTATAAATGTTTGTAATAAATATTTCATTTCTATATTAATTAGGAACTGTAATAATATTCCTGTTTTCATCACTTGAGTATGAAACTCCACTGTTTTGTGCTTACAGATTATTGTCTTTGGTCAAATTATGGGGTCACTCAACAGTGTTTTTCACTTAACAGTGTTCTACTTTTTTTGATGGAGCTTGAGAAAAGCACTTCTCACTGTGTATCAGCATGGCTTCTTTGGGAACAAGTCATGACAGACTAACTTTTGTCTGTCATCTCTTTCATTTCTTCTTTCTTTGAAGGTCTATTGAACTTGTAGATCAGGGTGGTGTAATAGGTGTGATACACATCTATTAGATATTTCAGAAAGTCTCATATACTTGAAGAGGATATGGAAAAATGTCAGTGAATAAGGATATCAGCCTGCAGCTTTGCGTAGCCAATGAAGTTTATCCGAGGCGTGATTATTGCTAATTGTAACTAATAGATGTATTCTAAGGAGGCTGATGAAGGCATAAGTGGTACCTGGGACAGAGATCCCCAGGGACAGGTTTGTTCTCCTCCTATTCATGGTTTTATTAATGAGGCATTTATTGTATGGAGGCAGTGGTAACATGTTGAATAATTTTACAAATGAGTTAAAACTGAAGTATGAGGATGTTTTCAAATGATAAGCCAAAATCCAGAAATAATCAGTTGGGAAGGTCATTGGCCAGACAGAAGAAGTGAAATTTAACCAGAGTAAAGACCTGTACTTACATGTGAAGAACTCAAGAAGTAGATTCCTTAACAGTAATTATGAATTAAAGAACAAATTTCCTTGAATGTAAACCAAAGCAAGAATTGTTGGTGATGTGGCTGCCCAAAACAGTAAAGAAAATTTGGATTGCTTTGATATAGTCTTTCTCTATTTTGAGATGACTGGGCCATACTGCATCATTTATTCCTTCTAGATGCTCTCTTGCCCTGTTTTAAAGGGCACATTAATAGAGAGTACTCGAGGGATGAAATGCTCAGGGACTTGAAACAATGCCTTCTGAGGTGTGGTGGAAGGAATTGAGAAGTTAACATGGAGTAGATTTGAGGAGAGGGCTGCCTTTGAAACTAATGTGATTTTTGTTTTGTTTTGAGTCAGTGAAAGTGGTGAAGCTTTGGCTAGTAGAATGCCCATGGGACGAGGGTCAGAGATTAGATTTTGTGACAGTTGAGTTATGGAAGGTCCTGTAAGACAGGGAAAATATAAAGTAGTTGAATCCTTCTTCTGCCATGGTCTAACTCAAAGATCATGGTGAGTATAGACAAGCTTTGCAATCTCCTGGAGTTCCAAACTATAGAATACAGATGATAATACCTATGTAATGGGGTTCTTGTAGGGGATTATGTGAATTAAAAATAAGTAAGCCTAGTTATAGTGTTCCTTAAGTGTTAGCCACTGTTACTATTGCCTATTTGATACATAGATTAATACTATAAGTATGTAAAATAAATACATGTTTCTTCATACTCAGGATTTAGTGTAGATAAAGAGGAGAGACTAGAATTTGGAGTTCTGTTTTTTGAAGGAAATATGACAGATCCTGACTTGTCATGTTTTTATGGCAATGTAGTCATTGTTCTGCGTTAGGTGAATTTGATCATTCAATTTCAGTACATTCAAGAAAGGAAAAGAAAAGGCTTTTACTTTTGTTAATTTTGCATTCCAAATTTTATTTTGTCCACAAAACGTGCAGAAACAAAGTCACATGTTTTTAAAAATGAAAAATATTTTAACATTCCATTAATCTGATGACCTGACCCAAGAACTTGGAGCATGTTTGTTTTGGCTTTAGCTCTTGGTTCTGTTACCTTTGGCGTGGACTTTTTTAAAAGAAGGATGAGATTGAAAAGGAAAAGTCCAAGTGCTTCTTTCATAGTCTTTTAAAGTTGCTTTGTATGTTGTAGATAAATTGGTTTGACAGATCTGTAGGCAGTGTTCCACATTTGGCACATCTTTATGATTATGTTTTTCTAGTCATCTGAAGAAAGTTTTACAATAGTAGGTGCAAATTTCTTTCCTTGTGAAATACTTTTTTAGCCAAGTTAAAAATACCACAAAGGCCCCAACCAGTCAGTTTCTAAAAGAAAATTCTTGTTGTAAAAGTAACTTTGTTGTGTCACAGCAGCCATACCCATAGTATTTAAGAGCTAGAATCAGACTACTTAAAGTTGAATTCTAACTCTGACTAGCTGTCAGTGCAGACAAGTTACTTAATCACTCTGCACCTCAGTTTCTTATCTGTTAAATGAAGATAACAATGACACTTTTATCCCATAGGGTTACTGGGAGAATTAATTGTAATTAAATTTGGAACAGTTCTTGGAATATATATAGTAAGTGCTTAGTAAATGTTAGCAGTTCATTGTCACACAGAAAATGGTTCATTTATCCATCCATCAATGAATAATCAGTATCTGTTACATTTCAGGAGCTGTGCTAGCCTCTTAAAGATACAATAGCATAGCTTCAATCTTTCTGGAAGTGGTAGTTTTGTGGAGGAGAAAAGAATTTTACTTTAAACAAGTAAAGTATTTTCAAATTATGATAAATACTTGAAGGAAAAGATCTGATGTTATGAGAGAGAAAAATGGAGGGTTGTGCTTAATTCAGGTGTGGGTGTTAGGAAAGGCCTCACTATGAGAAAATGACAATGGAGATATGATGTAAAGGAGGTAGTCACATGAAAAAGAGGGAGTGGGGCGGGAGTCAAAAAACAGAGGGAATAGCATGTGAAAATGTCATGAGTCAGGAAAGTGCCAAGTCATTTAGTTTATTTGGGCATAGGTTTCCTCACCTAAAGAAGGCATTTTCTGATAGATTGAAAAGTTTCATAATTCGAGGAGGGCAAAATTGGTTTAGTTTATTGTCTTTTTTTTCCTACCTGTAGAGGTGATGTACATTTATGTTTTTATATCATGAAAAGTCTGGGACATGGATGGTTTTTATCTGTTACCACTATTGTCTTTGGATTCTACTCTTTTTGGATTGTTTTTCTCATCTCATTTTTATGGACAATAATATTATTCAGTATAGTATATTGATTAAGAGCAGTAGTTTGGCAGAATAGTCAGTCAACTACTTTTGTTTCCATTCTACAGTATATAGATTTCCTGTCATCAAAGGTTTAATTTCCTGATCTTGGAATAGCACTAATAATAGAACCTAACAAGATTTTTTGTGAGGATTAAATTAGGCTATGCATGTGTGGTACTTACCGGGATCTGGCACATTGTAGGTATTAAGTAAATATTATCTGTTGTCACTTTCGTCAGTTTCTATGCATTTATGAATTTAAATGTTTTAATTTTAAATAATCAGAAGTCTTGCTCTAACTTTTATATGTATTTATATGTGTTGGTTTGCTAGAGCCACCATAACAAAATACCACCAACTGTGGCTTAACCAACAGAAATTTATTTTCTCATAGTTCTGGAGGCTACAAGTTCAACATCAAGGTGTTGGCAGAGTTGGTTTCTCCTGAGGCCTCTCTCCTTGGCTTGTGGATGGCCACCTTCTGTTGTGTCCTGACATGGTCTTTCCTCTGTGCTTGCATGTGGCTGGTGTGTCACTCTGTATGTCCTAATTGCCTGTTCTTAGAAGGACACCAGTCACCTAATAGCCTCATGTTAACTTAATCACCTCTTTGATGTCCCTGTCTCCAAATAGTCACATTCTGAGGTACTAAAGGTCAGGGTTTTAAAATATAACAGGGGTGGGGGCGGCATGCAGCACACAGTTCATCCCGTAATAGTGTGTATGTATGTTGGGATGAACTTTTCAGTGAGATTACTTTTTTGAACAAATATGCATGCTCACTTCGTTTATGGTTATTCACATACCTTGCACATAATCTTCTTTTCTTTGAAAAAGAAACTTAAAAATTCTAGCCTTGCAAATGTGTTCTTAAGATATTTAGTCTTGATCTCTATTAATAGAATTATACATTGTTCTTCAATATTCCCTTGGTTAATTGATTAGCAAATGTTTATGTAATGTCTGGTACCATTATAAGCATTGACAATACATTGTATAGGTAAACTACTCAGACAAGGTACCTGCATTCATGGAGGTTTTATTTTGAGCTAGCTGCTATTAAAGTTTCAAAAAGAAATTGTGGTCTAGGTTCTAAAAATAGAGTTCTAAGTTAACTTTCTTAAACGTAGTGCATATTTGTTGGAAATTACCTAATTATGATTCTTTATTTGGAGGAGATGTATAAAAACAAGACTTCATGGTTAATAGTGGAAATATTTTTAGCATTTTTGTTTTTGAAGTATTGTCTTCTTATTTTAGAGTTTGGGGACATTATCTTTCGTTGGTTTCGTGATGTTGCCTACTCATTTTTCTTAAGAAGAGTGTTCATTAGGGGCACCTCGGTGGCTCAGTCAGTTAGTTGTACGACTCTTAATCTCAGCTCAGGTCTTGATGTCAGGGTCAGGAGTTCAAGCCCTGCATTGAGTTTCATGCTGGGCGTGGAGCCTACTTAAAGAAAAAAAAAGAAAGAAAAGAAAAGTGCTCATTACATTTTTCCTGGTGGTTGTTTTATGTA